GTGCCACTCACAAGTGGGCTTCAAAATATCATAGTCCCCGATGATTTTCTTTACACATGCTCCAAAACAAACTTGAAAAGAACCATACCACTTGTGTATTTTTTATTCCCTTTCTTGAGTAGTTTTCCTTTCCTTTTCCTTTAAGCTTCTCATTTTTCTTTGCCCTTACCTATGCCTTTGCCTTTCCAAAAATAAGCAAAAATTATTAAGAAAAAAATATGAGAAGTAAATAAATTTAATTAGTGGGCTTACCCCATGAACACAAAGGACATTGAAGTCCTATTCATTATGGCGCACAACACTGACATTTCTGTTTTGAAGAAACTGAAATTGTGAAAATAGAGAAATGCATTTGAAAGGTAAAAGAAAAATTATATTAAGGGATGATTAAATAAAAAAATGAGTACAGAGATCTAATATTACTGTTTCCTCTAACATATCATCCATCTGTAAAGAATAACACAAAAGCATTTGATTATGAGAAAAATTATAAATAATAAGTAAGAAATTATGCCTCGATTCATAAACTATAAACTAAACATACATAACCAAAAAATATGAATGTTGTCCATAATTTGAATTAAAATGAACTCCAAGGTTGTTGAAGAGGTTAAAACACCACAGACCTGCAATGAGAAAATAACTCATTTATTAGTGCTATAATAGAATGGGTTTAAATAACAATGGGCTGTACATGACTATTTGATTACTTAATTGTGCCATAAGTTAAGTAAAATCAAATAAAAGGAAACCCAATTCTAATTTTTAACAATCAAATAAAAGTAACGCCCTCAAAATAAGACATAATCCAACCATTCAATAAATCCATAAAGCATAATAGTAACATCATCTTTTCATTCATCAGAGTTTGTACTACAATAGATATTACATGTTAGCAACAGAATGAATGCCTTACGGGCTTACAGCTTTCCAAGTCATCTCTTGGTTACAACAAAAAGAGTCCTAGCTCTATACATAGAAAGCCCTAGGCTTGAATATACAGTTAACATCGAAATGAATAACAAAAAGGAGTCTTTAACTCCAAAACCTCCCAAGCTAAGATCTTGGAGGCAGTATGTCACCTGTACCTGAAAATGGTGTCCCAAGTACAGTGAGCCAATGCCCAGTAGAGATATGCTAAAACAACATATGAGAATTAACTAAAACATTAGCATCCGATAAATGTTTAACACTTAAGAACCCAGTTACACTCTTTTCATAACTAGTCAACATTGACATCCATATTTCAATCCACTTTCATTTATTTATCCAAAACAATTCATTAACATGGTTCATTTTCATCCAATCAATTCAAAATGAGACTACAACTCATATCACCAACACTTCAATCATCAACATCATTCAGATGTATATAAGGTTTCGAGACTTTCACCCTGGACACTCCGGCCAACTTAATTATTAATGGAGTCCATCCCCTATCTCCTCCCAAACAATGGAGTACATCCTCTTTCTTCTCCCAAACAAAGATACATATGCAATGTATTTAAGCATGTTGTCACATACAATGAGCAATTAAATCACATATTCAACGTATTAATCCAACCGTCATATTCAATGACATAATCCAATTGATTAGTTTCAATTTACCTAATCATCATGCATTTTCTACAACAATCATGGCTATCCTCCACCAATAGCCCAGAACAGCTATTTCTAAACAGATAAATAAATCTATCAAACAGATAAATTATTAATTTTTCCATAGGTGAGTATAGATTCGACTTTCTTCACGTGCCCCCTTTCGGAGAGGCGCGAATTGGTTCTACAGTTCGGACTCTTGTCACGGTTTTGAATCTAATCTCACAAAGTGCAATATGAGACTGATAAGCATCAAAGCGTCCAATCTGGCAAATCATTTTTGAAAAATCAGATTTTAAATCAAATAATGCCAAAACTAGGCTGCTTTGCCAGATTACAAAGTCGCCACCTAAATATTTTATTTTTAGAAAATTTAGGAAACCCTGACTCATGCCAAAGGCCACGTGTCCGTCATCACCAAAGTTGCCTCGGCTCGAGAACTTGGGTACGAGAGGGAAAGGTCCTTAAACGAGCACCCCCACTCGTCCGATCAAAAGATCGACCTTTACTAAGCATGATATGTTGTTTTATAAACACATGTGTTCTTATTTTGATTATTAGCTAACTTTGCTATGTGACTCACACATACAAGTATAGACTAAGTCACAAGACTTAGAACGAATTCAACTGATGTTTGTTTTCGAAAATGATTTGAAGGTGCCACTCGCAAGTGGGCTAAAGTACGGATTTGCCACCCTCAAGTGGACTTAAAACATGATAATTTGCCACTTTACAAAACTCGCATTTATTGAATTGTTCCAATTCAAGCAATAAAGCCTTCATCCACAGGCATTCATGTAGTTAAGCATTTAAGCAAATAGCCTCGTAGCAAGCATGCTATCATGGCAACACCCACACTCATGCAAGTATGCTAAAGCATAAAACTTATAGTGCACTCCAAGCCAAAACAGAAGTTAGTTAGAAATATGCATGATCCTAACTATATAAAATGCCTAATGCAACACATGCAATAATGTAACTAAATAGGCTTAACTACCTATGATGGCATATGAATGCGACAATTTGATACACATATTCAAAGAAGTGTATTGAAATACGATGCAGTTTGAATGATGCGCCGAGCCCTGTGCATGCAAGACAAACGAATGATGCAAACATGCAAGCATAAGGTATGCTAATCAAAACGTGCCCTAATCTAACCATCAAAAGTAGTTAAATAAAAGGGAGAAAGACGTGGGGTTGGAAGACATGCACACACATGCACACTTATTATAACATTGTGCCCTTTCGAAGGAGGGTCTGAATAAATAAGCTAAGCTATACTAAGCTAAGCTAATTATTACAAAACAAAACTAATTAACTATGCTAAGCTAATTAAAATATTACAAAATGGATTAAACTAATTAATTACAAAACATGTATTAATCAGCTACAACTAGCTAATAAAGCAATAAAGTGGCCTCGCGGGCGAGGGAGACACGCATGCTCGGTTGCGTTCTCCCGAAAATCCATCACTGTGGCACCAGTTGCCCCTGTTTACACTTGCTGTGATTTCTGAACATCGAACCAACATTCCAAACTGCTTCTACTCCAACACAGGAACAATTGGCACAAAAATGGACTGGTGGCCGGTCGGCCACAAAAGGTGGCTGTCGGCCACCTTAACTAGTCGGTCGGCTAGTCTAGGTGGCCGGTCGGCTACTTCATGTGGCCGGTTGGCCACTGCTTTTTCCAGGCTTCTGGTTTTGCTGCAACAGAGAGAAACTGAGGCAAAACAATGTATTTGCAAGGAAATGTGTGTACTGCCACCCTCCTCATCATTTCTCAAGCTCAAAGGAGTATGGCATTTGGCTCTCAAGCCACCAATCAAGCATTTTCATACATGATGGCCAAAGAACCAAGCTTGTACAAGCTTAATGAATGCGCACATAAGACTCAAATGGCCACCACCCTATCATGCATGATCAAGGGTGACGATAACCAAGAAGCGTGACATGTTTCATCACTTTGAGTATGAAACGTCCCACATTTCTTGTGTTTGGATTAACGTCTGATCCAAACACATGCAATGCAACACACATGTTTATCTTGCTCAAGTTTTACTTGATTCAATTTTGTTTACTCATTTTAGCATTACCAAACCATTCTTTAATTGGTTAAGTTCAAGATGAGTATCCTCTAATGAGAGAGGGGTCAACCAAAGGATGGTTTAAGACATGAGAGAGATCATGCCTTTGGCTAGGAGGAGCCTTCAAAAGAGAGTTAAAGCCATTGAGCACAAGCTCTATCTCAAGCTTAAACACAATCATAAGGTTAACCACTCCTCAAAACAAATAGAAAAATGAAGAAATGAGGGAGGTTGCAGAATTTTTAGTGCTGAAATGGCATAAAAAATAATGCTAAAACATGCAAGCAACACATGCACAACATGTTAAAAGCCAAAAACATCAAAGCTAGTGAAGAGTATTACACTAGAGGCATGCAATACTAAGCTTAAATGACCAAACTAGCTCTAGACAGAGCTTAAACATGCCAAATCAGTAACCAAAACATGCTAAAATTTAGACACGAAAGGCAAGAAAAACATGCTCACATGTTGGATCACAAACAAAACATAAAGCACAACTCAAAAAAATGAAATAGTGGAACATGTGAGAGTGTGATAGAGCTACATGCATTGAAATTACATGTTAAATGATGCTATAGCATGCAATCATCTCAAGCAATGCATGTTAGAGGCCTTGAAACACAAAGCTAGTGAAGCCATTTACACTACAACCATGCAAGACTAGGCTCATATGACCAAGACCACCCAAAACAGAGCTAAAATATGCTAAATCAGTAGCTAAAACATGCTGAGATCAAGTCATAAAGAGGTAGAAAAACATGCTCACATCTTAGGCCATCTACATATGCAAACAAGATACAAAGAGGGGAGACCACCTCCTCCTATTTTGGACCTCAAAACTAACTTTTTACCACTGAAATTTCCCTGGAATTCAGTGGTAAAAAGGCCAAGAAAAGGGTGTTTGAAAAGCTTTAAAAGATGGCACAATACTTAGCAAACAAGCCACAAAAGAGGGTGAACCACCCCTAACTCCAAAAAGGCCTTAAACCACCATTTTTAAACCTTAAAAATAGAGGTTTTTGTAATTGAAAACTAGACCAAAAACAGCATGCAAAGGTGGCCAAACAAGTGTGCAAAAATAAGCTTAAAAGGGGTGAGCCTTATACCTTTGAAGCACAGCAACAAACAACCATTTTTTGAGCCAAAACCAGCTTTGAGAGCTCAAATAAGACCTCCAAGAACCTCAGTTCCAAGTAAGCCTGTCAACGGATCGGGTATAACCCGAATCCGATCCGAATCCGATCCGATTAATCCGGTCCATTTATGCAAATCCGAATCCGAATATCTGTTTAACCCGTATCTATGTAGCCCGATTTTAAACGGGTCGGACTCGGATAAATCCGATCCAATCCGTTTGTTTGCCTAATCCGATTCCATTGAAATCAGATCTCTCATAAACAGATCTCTCTCATCGTCTGAAAAGTGCGTTCTGTTGTTGAAGTTCATCGTCTGAAGATCAAATCTCTCTCTCATCGTCTGAAAATGCTCCGATTGATGACGATGAACCTAGCCAAATCGAGCTCTCTGCTCCGATTGGATTCATAACGCTCAATTTCAAAGAACGAAGTCCAAATCTTGTCAGATCGGAGCTACGAACTGTAAGAGATCATCTCTCTGCTCCTTTTTATTTTTTATTTTTTTTGTTGGGTCTCTGTCTCGTTTCTGTTTTTGTTGCCGATCTGATGTTTTTGTTGCCGATCTGATGCTTGAAAGCAAATCTTGCCGATCTGATGCATTTTGTGTCTTTATCACAGACTATACTCATCTTTGTCTCTATCTTTTGTCATACGATTCTCTCTTCTCTCTCTCTCTGTCTACGACTCTCCCTTCTCTCTTCCTCCATCAAGGAGAGTTGGGTTTGGGCTTTCCCCTCTTCCTCTGTTATTCTATTCGTCGGCTTCCTCTCTTCCTCTGTCAATGAGAGTTGGGTTTTGTTACAATATTGAACAAGATCAAAGGAGACCGTGAATTTATTGTTTCTTTTTATGGATTTTTGCTAAATAGATTCATGATTAATTCTTCATTGATCAAAGTGAAGAACTTTTGGTTCAATTTTTTGAAGGATTTTAAAGTATTTTATTAGTTAAAATCAATTTTTTTTGCTGAATAATTTTTCGAAGTGAGCAATTTGAAGAGAGATATATATATATATATATATTGTGGACTTGCGCTTGTAAGACATCCCACTATCATCTCTTCACTTTTGTTGATTTGCAGAATAATTATTTACACTTGAATCTAATAAATATCTACATTGGCTATATGTGAGTTGGCTTATCAATCTTGGAATATCTATATTTTCTTCTGGTGTTAAATGCAATGTCAAACTCTGTGTAGGTTGTTATTTCGCTGATTAAATAAGAATGCATTACTTTTGTATTCCAATCAAAATTAAATCTCTAGCTCTATAAGACTATAGGATGCATTAGGGACTGGAATGAGGCTGTTATATTCTTTCATTACACTTGAATCTAGTCTACTTTCTTCAATAGGATCATTTCTGGAGGAACTACATGTATCTAGGGATTAGTCAGGACGGGATGCCTTATTTTTAAAAAAAAGAAAAAAGAAAAACAGTGTTAGATATGTGGTGAGTATGTTATTTATGGTTCTGTTTGTTGATCAATCCAATGTCACATGATTCCCATTGAATGGATGTTGTGTTTCTCGATTGAACACAACAATAATGAATGTACAATTCATATTGTCTTTATATATTTTTGTTGTGTTTGGATGTTGAATTTGTAAATGGGTTTGTGGAGAAAAAAGATTAGAGAAGGAATTTATGCAAACAAATAAAAAATAGTTTGACATTGCATTTGATTGAAAATATGTTTCTAATTATCACCCTCTCTTTTTCTCTGCCTCACTTTTTTTTCTCATTAGGTTGGTGGTAAACATGTTTATGTAGTGAAAGCATCTGAAATGGCATAATAATATGCCCACAAACTTATTGCTAGGAACCCATTGGAATTACGGTGCAATTTTTTGTTTTCTTACATTTTAGTTTAAAGTTTAAATGTTAATGGAGTTAGTACACTGTTTCTTGTTCTTTTTGGGGCAAGTTTTCACCTAAATTATATGTAGTCAAGGGTAAAGTTGAAGAACTTGAATTGCCTGAGAAAGTAGATATTTTGATCTCAGAGCCAATGGGTACACTGGAGAAACTCTTACATTGTTTAAACGTTTAAACGTTAAATTCAGGGGAGATTCTAATATACATACATTTGAAAAGGAGGTGCCATATGCACCTTTTAGTAATGTCATTTTTTTTTAATAAGGTTATTGATTTTAAATGTTTTATCAATATTTTTACCAAATATCTCACATGGATATCGGACCTACATGGGACCAATATGGTGTGGATTTCAAACTCATGTGAGATATTTAGTAGAAATATTAGTAAAACATTCGGAATTTCTATCATTTTTCTCTTTTTTTAGTTATAATCAATTTTATATTTTAATCTATTTTCATAAATTCATCTTGATTTTGAAATTTCTCTTACTAGAACTGCTTGCGGTGAAATGTGGTTACATAACTTTTCTTCTTGGAGCTTGATATTCTTGGATTGAGCTGTGAATAAGTATTGGATGAGTGGCAAATTGATTGAGAATTTTAGAGGCCTATAAATTTGTAGGATTAATTATTGTTATCAAGATTTACATTGAAAAGTTTTTATGTTGAAAACAAGTCTATAAATTTGGATTAGCTTTCAAGCAATGTGCAATTTTTGTCTATAAATGGATAGTATACTTCTGCAGAGGTTTAAATATTAATAGTGCTTATGTGAACTGCTCTGGTTATTGGTACTTTTTACAATTACCATGTACAACAAAATAAGTCTCCTCCCTGATCGGTGACTTTACTTGGGTCCACTGCTCTTTATCAACAAAATTGTTTTCATTATTGTTTTTATCTTCTCTTACACTTGCTGATACATTGATAAAATTACTTCTGCAGATGTTTTGGTGGCTGATGTTATCGTAGTAGAAGCAAAGAACAAGAGAAGATACTGAAGAACTAATAGAGAAGACCAAAAGAGACACAAACATGTTTGGGAAACTATTGTTAGCTCTCAGATAGTATAGCATAGCTTGTTCTTCATAGGAGTCTTTCATGAGTTTTTTCTGGTTTTACTTTTGTGCCAAAAGTGTGTCATAAAATTCTGACCTCTTGTAAGTTAGAGAATGCAGTGGCAATGTTTTGGTGGCTGATGTTATCGTAGTAGAAGCAAAGAACAAGAGAAGATACTGAAGAACTAATAGAGAAGACCAAAAAAGACACAAACATGTTTGAGAAACTATTGTTAGCTCTCAGATAGTATAGCATAGCTTGTTCTTCATACGAGTCTTTCATGAGTTTTTTCTGGTTTTACTTTTGTGCCAAAAATGTGTCATAAAATTCTGACCTCTTGTAAGTTAGAGAATGCAGTGGCAATGTTTTGGTGGCTGATGTTACTTTTTTTTTTTGTCAATGATGGAATTATTCTTTTTGAGTTGGATATGATTGGTGATAGTGAAACTGAATCATATCACCGTTTAATTTGCAACCAAGTGATTGGTTTGTTGCTTTGTAATGATGCTCCATTGTCTCTCAAAACCTGGTGACATCTTTTGAGTTGTTTTTACACCATGAATGCAACAGTGACTTTTGTACTCTATCTGGGATATGATCAGGTTGAGTTATTGAGCTGGGTTAGGCTTGTAAGCTTTGAATTAGACTGCTCAGCTTAGTATTGTTTGATTTGATTTGTATGTTCAAAATCCGAGAACATATGTTTAGCATGTGTAATGAAATAGACTTGTTTCCAATTTTGATGTTGCTAGTCAAACATGCTAGATATCTTTCAATTTCACTTTTAGTTTGCTGGAATTGAATATTTTTTTTAAAAAGTTTTTCTTTGTTGTTACTTCATGCTACATTGTGAAAGCCCTCATTTATGTATTTTTGATTGTATCACAAGGGGAGAAATTATGATGTTTTGTTTTGGAAAGATGCTTTGAAATGATGTTATGTTTTGCATTAGGAAAGTCAGAACATCAAGATGAACTTTTCATTATAAAAAGCTGCTATGTTTTTTTTATAATTGGTATTTTCTTGACTTTATGGCTGGCTTTAAAAAAAAACGGATTGGATCGGATTATTCGGATCGGATATCCGTGCAAAACGGATCGGATCGGATCACGTATAATCGGATTTTCAATAATCGGATTCGGATTAATAGTTAATATCCGATCGGATCGGATTTTGGCAGATCCGACCCGGATCCGACCCGTTGACAGGCCTACTTTGGTGTTTATCAGTTTCACATTGCACTTGTGAGACTAGTTTAGAACCCGCAGGAGTCCAAACTGTGAGGCTTCTTTTCAAACCTTTCTGAAAGGCGGGGCGCGAAAAAGGCGAGTCCAGTTTCTGGCGACTCTGCTGGTTATTTAGAGAATTGACTTGAACTCTTGATATGTTATTTTATCTACACTTATGTGTTTCTTTGCATTTACATTTGCATTGGTGTGCCTAAGTCACAGTGTTTGCCATCTTCTATTCCTGAGCGGTTTGCCAGAGGCTTGCTTGAAAAACTTGCAAAAGGCTGACGGTTGCAAGCTTGCCACGATGGAACACACCCTTGGATCTGGACTACACTGTACATTGATCTTTTTTCACTTCTCGGTGTTAGGTGTGAGAGATATATTAGTAGTTTTGTTGAGGTATCCCTTTTGACCAATCGGCCTATTTGCATATCGAAAGCCATAGAGACTATTCCAAACTAGGATAGGATGCTTACCCGAATGCAAGATTTTGTGAAGCCACTTGTTGTGCATAGTAAAACCTAGCTCTGACGAATTTAGGACAGGGAAACCTTATCCCTCATAGGGGTGTTTTGGTTCTCACTTAACTGGTATGTGCTTTATAGTGAAACTGTATAGGAATGTGTATATCAGTTGCCAAGTTTGTATTTGTTTTGGGGCAGAATTCAGTGTGGATACAGTCACTCAACTGTGATCATATTCGTTCTGGTGAAATTGGCTGAGATATGGTCTGTTTTCTTTTTTGCAAGGTAGTCTAGAACATAGCTTTAGAAGGCTCCGATATCCCCTGGGTAATTAGACTTGTGTTGAAGACTTTGTCAGGTCAGAGATTTAGTTCAAAAGAGCAACTAGTGTTTCTTTTTAGCACAAGGCAAAGAAAGGCCAAACAGGGCTCACTGGTTCACTGATTTGACAGCTACTAATTAGATCACTTTGTTCAACTCAGCAGACCCGAGATGGACAGAGTCTGGAAGAAGTTGTGCCATGGAGTGCATTAACCAGGGAATCGCCATGCAGGATGAGACCAATGCTAAAATGCAATGCCATCTGGGTATCTGCCACACATCCAGTCCTGGGCCCTCAGCCGAACTTTGACCAACTTCCGCCAGTCGAAGATTGCATGGTCGAATCTCCCGAAAAGGTTGGCTCAAGCTCGAGTTTTCAAACCTGGTGCAGCCTAATGAAGAGGCTTTATCCCTTGATACTATGATCTCAATCTGACCTCGGTGAAAATTGCGAACCTTGAGAAGCAATTCAAAAAGGCACAGGGCCTTAACTCCATTCCGACATTGAGGATGGGTACCCGAGGCTGTCGTAAGGCTTCCAGACAGATTCAAAATGCCACACATTGACGTTTCGACGAGTCTAGAGATCTATGGTACATATCCGACTTTTTGGATGTCCTAAAACTGATGGTTGACTAAGCTCAGAAACTCTCTCTGTATGGAAGAACCTTATCTGGCATAGCAGTCACTTGGTACGCCAAGTTGGAGGATAAAGTGAAGCAGAACTGGAAGAGTGGCTGAGGCATTTGTCGATCAGTATTCTTAAAGTACGCAAGTTGAAATGACCGCGCAAGAGCTTGAAGCAACCCACCAGATATCTATAGAATTGTGGAATTTGTTACAAGGTGGGAGAGCAAAGGTTGCATAGATGACAAATCGACCTTTTGAGAGGGACAAGTGCGGATAGTGGTGCAAAACCTTGAGCCCCTGATA